ACCCCAGGCTGGGACTACAAAACCACAACAGACCATCCCTCTGGACTGTAATGTCCAAGTTAACCTTTTCTTGTACAAGCTGCCCTGCTCTGGGCATTTATCACAGCAGCAGAAAAGTAACCAGTACAATGGTATGATAAAGAGATTTTTTTTTTGTACATTAAGCTTTTATTTAGTCACTCACCAAGTATCTTTAATGCTAGTAAGTTTTTACAACTGCCTCTGGCTTTCTAAATACACAATTGTACATCAGAACAAGATAATTTACTTTCCAAAAAATTGTTCCCATTTGGTACTCTCCCCTAGCCGCTTTCACAGAAATGCCTTACTTCAGCCTTGAGAGACAGCTAGTACTTAAACACTCAGTAGTTTTTTTGGTGGTCTATCATGCAAATATTTTTTCTTGAACTCAAAACAACATACACTGATACATGTTTTATCTTTCACTTAAAAATCTTAATCTTAAAATTGTTCTAAACTTTAAGAAAAGTTGTAAAAATAATATAGTTTCTGTACACTTTCCTACAGATTTCCAAATAGTAACTGCAGCTTCTTCTCCTCAGTGAGCATGGCAAACTAAGGTTCCTGGAATATCTTAAGTTTATATTTTCTAAAAATAAAGGCATTCTCTTCAATAATCATAATTATAAAGGTGAAACCTTCTAGAGAATCAGCTAGCATTTGCTGATCTGATGGTATGGCTGATACTGGTTGCACAAGCTCACAAGACTAGTGTCTACAGCTCAACTTGGAGCTTCTACATATAGTCAGAGGTGACAGTGGGATGATCTTTTGATCAGTCTTATCAAGTGTGAGTTTATTATTCATTCATTCATTCATTCCACAGGGTCTCATGTAGGTCAGGCTGGCCTCACAGTCACTATCCTCCAGCCTCAATCTCCCAAGTGCTAGGATTACAAGAACAAGCCACCATGGACCCTACCACCACCTTTTTAAAAGACAAAGACTCATATAGTTCAGGCTGGCCTTGAACTTGTAGCTGAGGATGACTCTAAACTCTTGATCCTCCTATAGCCATCTCTCAAGTGCTATTTTTATAGGAATGTAGCACTAAACCAGTTTTTTTTGGTCTAACATTTGAAGGGAGGCAGTGATGCCTATATGTGTGTATCTACACATCTCTCTCTCTCTCTCTCTCTCTCTCTCACACACACACACACACACACTTTAATTTACTCTATATTGTTGTAGTTACTTTTCTGTGTTAGGATAGAACATTAACCAAAAGCAGCTTGGGTGAGTAGAGATTTTATGGCTTATTGCATACATTTGTCCACTGAGGGAATCCACCAGGAACTGAACCGAGACCACAGAGAAACAGTGCCCAGGCTCTCTCATCCACTTTTACCACAGAGCTAAGCCCACCTGCCCAGGGATAGCACTGCCCATACAAGGCTGGGCTGAAGTGGAAATTTAAGGGTTCTTTGGGTTGGTTGTGTTGGATAGTGTTTTGTTGGAGCAAACATGTGAAGGAGTGTTTTCCTGAAGTGGACACAAGTGTGAAAGGCTAAGGCACACTTGCAAAGAAACATTTTGCTGAAGCAGACACAGGAGAAAGGATGTTCTGCTAAAGCAAGCATGTGAAAGAACATGTGATGAAGGATTCTTCACATACACGCACATACACATTGTTTCGTAGTTGAGCTGCATTTGTTGGGACTCTATAAACTGAGACAGATGCACGTGCTAAGGCAAAGCACGTGGAGAACATGTGATGTTTGAAGAGAGCAATAAGAAGACAGACAGTGATGGAAGCTGAGCTTGGCTTGCTTACATAGCTAAATGCTTCTTAGTCTCCCGCATCTTCACAGATCTTCACTGAGAGGCACAGCAGAGGACTCCTGTCATCCCTCCAGGTCGCTCCAGCTGACTAGTGCTGAGGCTGAGGCCTGGCTGTCTCTGCTAGGTATTGCTACTGCTGCTGACTTGTGCTTGCTAGCCGGACTCTATCCAACTGGACTGCTGGTGTATCCACAGTGTTTGTGAGTGCATCAAGCTGCTGCCACTGCTGACCTGTGAACTGAACTCATTTCCTGACAACACAGATGGGGATTTGCTCCAAGGAACCATTTTTAAACAGGTCCACTTCCCCTGTATTCTTTCTGTCCCACTACTTCTGGTGGGTGGTGGGCTACAAGGGAGGTTAAGAGTAGGTTTTGAAAAAAATTAAAGTTACATTGGGCCCTCCTACCTAAATTTGCAGTTAAAAAAAGCTCAGTCTTGCCCACCAGCCAACCGAATGGAAACAGTTTCCTCAACTGAGGCCCTATTTCCCCAGGTGATGTGTCAAGCTGAAACTAATTGTAATGTATTTATTTCAATTCAGAAGTTTAATTATGGGGGTGGGGAGACGGCTTAATCGGAAGAGCCTGCTACATGAGCACCGACCTGAAAAGCTCAATGTGGTGGCGCTCACTTGCAACCCAGCATGAGCAAGGGAGTTGTTTAGCTTAGCCTCCAGTCCAGTGAAAGCCTGTCTCACAAACTATCGGCCAATGGATGGCTCAGCAGGTAAAGGTGCCTCCACATGCACGCCATGCCACGCAAACCCTCTCCTCCACATGCACGCCACGCCACACACGCCCCCATCTCCATACACAAAATAAGTAAAGATGTATTAATACTAGCAAAATATGATGTACTGACAAAAAACCCAAGGTGAGGAACACGCCTGAGGCTGACCCCTGACCTTTACACCCCCTCCACCTCCACAACATGATCACAGACTCACATGAGTTTAGCTAAATGCTTTGTGGTAGTGGGGAGGCAGAGGCAGGTGGATCTGTGTGGATTCAAGGCCAGCTTGGTCTACACAAAAAGATCCTATCTCAAAAAATAGAAATACTCAAGAAACCTGCCCACAGCAGGTTTTGTTTATTTCTTGGGGGGGGAGGGGCTGGTGATGGACAGAGCCTCACACGGTAAAGCAACTGCTCTATGACTAAGTTACATCCTGGACTACAACACAAACTACATCTTCAGTGTTTTCTAGAAAACTCATTTGCCCTGTTTTTATATTTGTTGCTGTGCAGTTCTAAAGACTATTTCCCCTCTTAGAACTACTTGTGATTTCTTACTCCTCTTGTATTTTCATTTCTGGCCTCTTCTTGGCTCCCTTTTCCCTTGGCAGCTTCAGCAAACTTCACCTACTTAGCTTACACTTTCGGCTGATCCACAAAGAGCAGCCGCTTCAGCCTCTGCAGCGCTGGGGTTCTAGTCACCACATCTGGCTAGTGCTGGGGTTCTAGTCACATCTGGCTAGTTAATTTTGTAAAAATCTTTTCCTCTAGAAGCTCAGCTTTTATTGCTCATTTTCTGCTCAGTGTGTCATTAAACTTTTTTTTTTTAATTTTAATGTGTTTGTTTTGAGTTCAGGTGCACCATGCGTGCAGGAGCCCACAGAGGGCAGGAAGTGTTGGATCCCCTGGAACTGGAGTTACAGACAGCTGTGCACTGCTCTGTGGGTGCTCTAGACCCTCTACAAGAGCAGTCCGCACTCTAAACCACCCATCCATCAATCCAACCCCTAAAGTGGTATTTTTCCTCCTCACTGAATAACTGTGAATCTAAAATAATCGCCACATACTTTAACCTCATCTTCCTCCTGCCAGAGGCCCCTATCCAGACTTGCAGGGATTACAGGTTTGTACAGGTCCTGCTCAGCCATTTCTCCTTTGCACCACAGCCAGGCATGACAGGGCCTTACATAAGTGGCCCGCTGTCACCTTGCTCTGCTTGAGCAGTTCTTAACCCTGATGGGTCCCACCTCCTGACTATACACTGCTAACAAGTCAAAGTATGCAGAGGAAATAAACAGCTCTGTCCTGTCCTAGGGCCTCTCCATCTACATATTCCCAGAGCATCTGTTGCATGCTGGACCACCGCATCTCTGTGAATATTAAGCCAGACAGGTCAGAATGTCCTCCTGGAGCTTGCATTCTAGTGACAAAAACAGATACCAGAACAAGTGGTGCATGCACGTTGAGCAAAGCCCAGGAAGGGACTCAGGCACTGGAGTAGTCCAACATAACTAAAGGAGCCTGGCCTTTTGATGGGGGTGACAACCCAAGTTCCTCAGAGCCCAATGACCTATTCTGTTCCCCATCCTACAATCGGGAAGGTGGCCATGGGGTTTTCAGTCATAAAAATGATCTAGTTTTGCGTTAAGCGCCAGCTGTTCCTGGCCACAGTTGAGGACCCAATAGGAACGAAGCTTAGGAGACGGGCACTGACTGACTTGGGAGTTGTGCAGTTGAACCACTGTTGCGCAGTGGTTCTCAACTTTCCTAATGCTGGAACCCTTTTGTTGCTACTTCATAACAGTAAGTTTGCTACTGTTGTGAATCATAATGTAAATATGTGTGTTTTCAATGGTCCTAGGTGACCCTGTGAAAAGAGTTGTTTGACCCTTAAAGCAATCACTACCCACAGGTTGAACACCAGCGTTCTATGACAAACACAGGAAAAGGAAAGAAAGAGAAACAGGCAAGAAGAAGCAGAAAAGGAATAGTAAGGTTTTAAGAAGGCCATAACATGTGCTGGAGATGGACAGTGGTTATGAGCACTTACTGCTCGCAGTAGACCCAAGTTCAAATCCAACACCTACATGGTGGCATAATATTGTCTGTAATTCCAGTTCCAGGGTATCTAACACCCTCTTCTGGCCTCCAGAAGCATTGCGCACATATGGTACACAGACATACACTCATACACAGAATTCTTTAACCATTGGTTAAACCATTCAAGAAACCATTGGCTTATACAATAAAAGGAAACAGGAACGCCTTGGAGGAATAGGAGCTGAGGCGTGGAGGCTGTGAGTGAGCCCAGAACAGTCTACGGTGCCAGAACACGGAGGTGCAAGCAACGTCAAGGCATGACTAAGCTCGCTTTGGCCACGTGAGGCTGCACGGAGCGACACACTTTCTACTACATTACAATCAACAGAATAAATGAGCAAACATTATTGAATAAATGAATGAGGTAAAAGGTTTCTTTGGAACAGAATACCAATTATTAAATACAGATGAATAAGGAACGACAAAATCTTCATAAGTAACACAGTAAATTCAACAGCAAAATGTCTCAGCCGAGATGGACACTTACTCTAAGAAAAATTCTAAGCATGTGACATTTAAACAGTTTTTTAAGTATCTTCCCAGAACATTCTCATTACTAAAAAATGTATTATTACTGTCATGTGTATGTGTGTCTGTGTATGTATGGGGGGAGGCACTCATGTCACCACATGTGTGGTCAGAGGACCATTTTTTTTGAGGTTGGTTCTCTCCCTCCATCTTTATATGGGTTCAAGGAACTGAACTCAAGTCATCAGGCTGAGTATCAAGGGCTGTAACCTGCTGGGCCATGTTAAAGGATCTCTTTTTTTCCGTTTTTTTTTTTTTTTAAGATAGGGACACACTATGCAGCCCTGGCTGGCCTGTAGCTCACTTTGTAGATCAGGTCAGTCTCAAATATATAGAGATGTACCTGCTTGACCCGTGGAGACAGGGTTTTACTATGTAGCCTAGGTTGGTCTGGAACTCAGTATGCAGCACAAGATAGCCTCAAACTTGTGACAATCCTACCTCAACCTCCCAATTGCTGGGAGTCCAGGCATAAGCCAGCAGTCTGGCTTGATTTCAGTTCCAGGGGAAACTTTTATTTATCTATATACTTATTTATTTTGTGGCACTGGGAAATCAACCCGGGCTTTCGTGCATGCTAGCCAAGATTTAATACTTCACCCCCCGGCTGACACTTGAGTTTTACAGCAGAGAACCTTCTTGTAGAGCCTCAGGGCTGGGAGGGAGGCTGCAGGGCACTGGCTTCTGAGGTCACCTTGCCAATCTCATCAGTGAAAGCATTAGCTAGATCCCAGCTGAAGGATAGTCTACAAAAGAACTGGCTTGGACTCTTCCAAAACATCACGATCACAGCGCAGGGGACACAGAAACTGCCTTGGGCAGACAGAGGGGAAGGGACTGGAAAGCAGAATGCCATGTGGGATGTCCAGGCTGGTGAAAGCCGCAGCCTGCAGATGGGGCAGGAGGGGCGGCAAGCTACTTTCCTGGTCCTGCCATTCCCCATGGGTCTCTGCTATACGACAGGAGAGGCTGAGTTAAAGGTTTACGAGGTTGACTTTTTTTCATAATTTTCTGAAGCCTAAACAACTTCAAAGTAAAAAGTAAAAAGAGAATACAATTATTGAGGTAGTGAGCTGCAGGCTGCCTCTGAGGGGTGTCACCCAGAGCTGTGATCATCTTGTCCATGACATCCTACGACTCATGGCACTGACTTCGGACCTGTCTAAGCATCTTGGCAGAGGCTGGCTAACACACAGGAAGTTCTACTCAATCCTGTAGTGGCAGATGATAGTGACAACTGGTGATGGTTCTGCAGATGATTCAGAGTGACTTGCCAGGCCTTGCTGTGTCCTGCTGTCCATCATGGGCATGCTGTACCATGCCACACTGAGTTGCCTCACTGGAATTACCACCTGACTAGGACAGCAGTTAAGAGACAGGGCTGAGGCAGATCCATGTCCACCTGCTTGGAGCCTGAAACCAACCTCGCTTTCCGTTATCTGTACTGCATTGCCAGCCTACTCAACGAACCTCATCTCAGAGCTGAGTTTGTTCACCTGGTTCCACCACAGAGGAAGGCAGGAAGAGGAACCAGACAGATCTATGGGTGCTCTACACTGGCTGAGTCATAAGCCTTGACTCTGACAGTTGGAGGGCATGGGAAAGAGGTAGCTGTGCTTGGAGCCCTTGCCGTCCCCCATCCTGGGGTGAGCTGCATTAGCACGAGTAGAGTGGCATACCACTGCCTGATCCCTATCTTCTTCAGCCAGACTTGGTCTCTGCTGCATGTTTCTGAGCTTCTGGCACCATGGTAATGTTCTAGTGATTACAAGGAATGGAGTCCACACTGAAGTGCAGACCAGGCTTCCCGTTCCTTGCCTTGGAGATCATAACAGACTATGAACCTCACAACCAAGAAAAGCAGGAGAGGGTGCTAGGCCTTAGAAAGGCATGAGGGCAAGGTAGATCAGTTGCCATGCCACAGCAAGGGGCCTTTATTAGATGTTCAGGGCACAGATAGACAGGTGGATGCTAGATGGTATAGCACACCTTCTCGGGGTGGAGTGGTGCCTGGATGTCCAGTTTGCGGGTCTTGCTGTCCTTATCAATGATCTCCAGTCGCAATGTCGGTGGACGCTTCTCAGCCTGGGGTGAGGGCAGCTCAGGGCTCTTGAGAAGGTGCTTGTCTGAGTCCTCCACAGTGATACGAAGGGTGCAGCCCCCTGGTAGCAGGTCCTGCTCATAGGCTGCCGCCAGTTGGTTTACCACACGGCGTTCTACCTGCAGGTGGCAGAAGATGACATGGCCATTTGCCTTGGCCTGACCTGGGGCTTAAGCCAGGAGCTGAGCTGGCCTCTATCATATGTTTAGGAAAGCCGGACTCTCGAGCCTTGGTCTTACTTGCAAATCGGCTCAATGGTGATAAACTCACGGGTCACTGCAGGGGCATTCAGGCTCCCAGCCCACGTTCTCTAAATGAGGGCTCATACTAACTCATCCTGCTTACAAGACTTAATTTCCTTATTCACTTTGCATCCCGATCGCCCCCTCCCCACTCTGTCCCCCTCCTCTCAGTACTTTATAATTCCCTCCCCCATTACCCATTCTGCTTAGTGTTTTTTTTTTCCTTTTTTTAAAAAATGTACATTGGTGTTTTGACTCTATGTACATATATGTATATGTGTGAGTGTGTCAGATCCCCAGAACAGGAGTTACAGACAATTGTGAGCTACCATGTGGTTGCTGGGAATTGAACCTGGGTTCTCTAGAAGAGCAGTCAGTGCTCTTAACCGCTGAGCCATCTTTCCAATGCCCCCTTCCCCACCACTTAATTGATCTTTTTTTTTTTTTTATTTCTGCAAGGACTTCTGTTGGTATGGATACTTCTAGCAGCTAAACTACAGGGAGACTGGCTGAGCCTGAAAGTTAAGTCTGTGGGCACCAGGGAGGGAGGTATAAAGGTACCACGCTTGTCTCAGGCTTCTGTGCTCACCTCATGCTTAATGGAGCGGGCACCGTAGTGGACGTTGTAGCCATCAACCAACACGTCTGCCACCTCACGGTCCCACAGCAGTGTGATGTTGTGCCTCTGCTTGGCCTGAGGTGGGTCAGAGAGAGGTCTGTCGGCATGCAGCCCAGTACCTTCCAGCTCTGGGCATACTGGTCCAAGGGGGCCTTGAGAGACTGTGTCCCCTGGACCACTGGCCTCACATCACCTTGGGGTCATTGAGTTCCAGATATCTTATCCCCACCCATGGGCAGTCAGTTCTCTTACTCTCTTGGCCCAGAAGTTCAGTTCCTTGTTGACCAGCTGGATGAGCTCTGAGTGGCAGAAAGGAAGGAAGTAGACAATCTCATTGATCCGTCCCAGAAACTCGTCTCTCCGAAAGTGAGCCTGCAGAGCCAGGTTAAGGGGGAGGTGTCAGTGATGGTTGGCAGGGAAGTTTCTGGGCCAAAGTGTGGCTCCTCCCTGAGCTAAAGTCCCCACCGGAGGTCAAAAGAAAAACTCACTTTCAGGATGGGTCGGATCACATTCTCTTTAAAGTTCTTTGAGATGGTGATCTTGTCACTAATCTGGACATCCCCTGTGAAGACAGATCATAAAGTACTTACCCACCACACTCAGGGATCTCTGGGCTGTGTTGGCTCTATGGAAGAGCCATGGGCTTTCTGTTGAGTGCATGTAGCCACAGTCTAAGGTCCCTGGGCCTTGAATTGGCCTCCTCAATAACTAGAAACTTCTGAGGCCCTTTGGCTCACAGATGCCTCAAGCCACAAACTCAGGAGGGAGTTGTTTGAGACAGGAGAAGATTCAGGATGAAGGTCTGAGCTCTGACTTAGCAAAGAGGCACCAGGGCTCATCCTGAGGAGAAAGGCAGATGCAGCCTCTTTCTGATGCTATCTCCGATAACCTCATGTGAGGCCTTGCCCACTTCCATAATTTCTGACTTGGTATCTCTGAGAGAGTCTGTTGAGTGTGTATCTCTCTAGTCCCACGGCTGTGTGCCTGTGTCTGAAACTCTCCTGGGCTTTACTGAAGGAGGATCTCTTGTTCTTACTATTCTCTGGTATGATGCCTATTTTCTGCTCTAAGGATCTCAACTCCATTTCTTAGGTATGACAGTGGTCAGATGACCTTCCTGAAACAGCCCAGGCTGTGCATCATACCAAGGTTTTCAGCGATTCGATTTCGGCTCATCTCCAAAGCTTCCTGTCTGAGCTGCAAAGCATGCTGGGCGATCTCATCACTGGCCACATTGGAAGTCATGATGAAGATGGCATCCTTGCAGTCAATGGTCTTCCCCTTGCCATCTGTCAGGCGGCCCTGGTAAGGATGAGGAATGGTAATGTTTAGGAAGCTGGTAGCTGGGCAAGCTACCAGCTGGACAGCTGCTTCTCAATGCTCTATGCTGTTGCCTTTCACTCTAAGCTCTCTGGACAAGGGACTCACATCCTAACAACAACGGCTTCACTGACTTATGCCTCCATGTGAGGTGGACTTGCTTATGGTCTTCAGGGCACCTAGCATCCCAGGGGCTTCCAGTGGCCAGTCTGACTTCCCACAAAACACACCCTTTGGAGGCCTACTCTGGGCTGGGACTCTTTGAGCCTTGTCATGATCCGGGTCTAGAGAGCCATTGAGACCAGAAAACAACAAGGATGATGAAGGGAGCCTGCGTCCCTGTAGGCATGCAGGGGAAGGTGTCTTAGAGGGTGATTATGAGGACCAGAAGTTGTCACCGGTGAAGCGCTTTATGAAACCATGCTGGGCAAACGGTCAGACAGTTGTTATTTCTGTGGCCTAGAATACCTTGTAAAGCCAGACAGTACTCACTTCTACATAGTTTTTTTTTGTTTGTTGGTTTGTTTGTTTGTTTTTTTGAGACAAGGTCTTACTATGTAGCTGGGAATGTCCTGGAACTATGTAGACCAGGCTGGCCACAAACTCAAAGATCAACTTGCTTCTGCCTCCCAAGTGCTGGGATTCAAGGCTTATACCACTATGCCCAGATTTTATTTTTTTTTCTTTTCTTGATATACTTCATACTTATTGTGTAGCTCTTGAACTCTAGATCCTCCTGCCTCTGCTTCCTTAGTGTTGGGATTATGGGTGAGTGCCACCATGCCCAGCCTATCTATCTTTGGAACTATTCTTCATCCTGGCAAAGTGGGGGTGGATGTAAAGATTCCCTCGTTAAACACTTTAGGATGTTTTCTTGGAACATTGAGCTCTTTCCAGAAGTGACACTGAGGAGGCATTTCTCCAGGAGACAGGTATATAAGAAAAGGAATGGCAGATACAGAAGAGTAAGTTCTGAAAGTAACCAGGTCAAGGGAGTACAGCCCTGGGCATATAGCAAGCCTCAAGATCATCTGTGCACCAACAGTGGACAGACAAGACAGTGGTGAGCAGGGTCTCACTGAGAGGAATCAATAGATTGGCAGGTGCACTCAGGCAGGTACCACTCTGTCACTACAGTGCTTCCTCCATCCATCTCCAGAACGGAACAACCCTGGGTAGAGGCCAGGCTGCTCAGTGTCTGACCACTCACTTGCCAACTGCCTGGATCTTTGCAATCACAGAGAACTCAAGCTGAGACTAGTTGCATGTTCATAGTTGTGTAACTAGAGTACAGAGACAACCTGACCCCTGAGCTATGCCTTGCCCTCTGCACCAGGCTAGAGAGCACCCCCAAGGGCACCTCATTATACCTGGCTTTCCTCCTAGGCAAAATTTAATTTGTATCCTTTATCCTTTCCTCCTAACCAGACACAGGAGTGATGGAGAGGGAGAGAATCCCTGCCTGGGGTTTTCTGAGGTAAGTCAGAGCTAGAGAACATAACCCTGGGGACAGATCACTGAACCATGGTAGGCTCCTGCCCCAGTTTAAACTCATCCCCATGCTCATGTCAATCTTATGTTCCCTTTGCCTGATGACACCAGGCTCAGTCAGGGCTAGTCTTTGCCTCTAGAGTGCATGTACTGACAAGAACCCAAGTGCTAGGCATGGTTTCCAGGCTTCTTTTGCTTAGCCGTTGGCCTAGGCCTCCAAGAAAGCATTAATTCTAAGGGGGTGTGGCACTCCACATCTTGGGAGTTGGTCACCCTGCTGTCCCTGGTTTGGGGTGGGAAAGGGGAAGACGTCTCAGCTCTTGAGCTGTTCCTCTCCAGCTCTTTGCTTTGCTAACTGGCTCTAACACAACCAAATCAGTGGGGGGACAGCTTGAACTTGAGGTCAAGTCTGGGTGCTCATATGACATGACTCAATCATATGCACATGGCACTTTATGTGTCACACTGGCCTTCTAAGCTAATCCCTGAGGACTGGGTTCACACATTGCTGTCCTGGACATAGTAATAACACAGCAGCAATTTCAGTGTGAGACACCAAAGCTCTGTTCATAACTAGGCCTCAGGATGGTTGAACATGGGCCAGCTGGTGAACTATACAACTGATCCCAAGAGTGATTTTTAACATTCACATCTCAGTTCTCTTGGACAATTAAGATGTAACCCAAAGGCAGAACTGCCCTTGTCAGCTATCCTGGCTGGGATGTAAATCTCACCCTAGGCTTAAGAGCTATCTATCAGCCCTGCCAGTACTTGGAGTTAGAATTCTTATGAGTCTCTGAAGGGAAGAAGAGAGGGTAGTGCCCAAGGGACTAGGCTTTTCCTGGGACTTCTATGTTGGGGAATAGACTCTCTTTCCTGGAGATGACCCAGTGTTCATGGTACTTTGGTGACAGCTAGAGAGTTCTTGATTTTCTCCATGCAGGATTGGGAGGTCACGCCTAGCAGGGTTCAGGACTTCTATCACCCCAAACTCTGGACCACACATCCTTCTAACCACTTTTGCCCAGCGCCTTCCTTCCTCAGGAGTCCTGTCCACTCAGCTCACCAGTAACACAATGCTTCAGGAATAAACACATGGGAAAAAAAAAGAATAAACACATGAGCTACACTCTCTGAACTGCCTGTCACTGTGGTGACTCCTCCTTGAACCTTTTATCCATGCTGTGCTTGCAGGCTAATCCCTCATTGCTTCTGGGCCACAGAATCCTGCTTAGATTGACTGGCAGCACTCCTTAGGAGGCTTCTGTTAACCTTTGTACTGAAGGAATCATGAATTGTGGCTTTTGTCCAGACTATTCCTAAATATTCCTAAACTGTAGCATCTCTGGGCTGGTCCATAGACATCACATTCTCCGCAATGCCCCAGGGGTCACCTTCCTTCCTGCCTGTATCTGCTGCTTGGCCTGCAGATTTCCTTGCTTTAGCTCATGGCTCAGCCACTTGGTTACTCAGGCTAGACATTGTCTCATGGTGGCAATACCTCTTTCCTCAAAGATTCATGAAATTTGCTTTGGACCAGGCTGCTGCAGGTATAAGTGGATTCTTCAGTTGACTCCTCACTGGGTCTCGCACCGTTAGGCACCTCCTTTGCATACTTGCCTTCAGGGGCTTTGTGAAGTGAAAATCTGACCCCGTTGCTTAAAGGTCTTTCAAATATTCCTTATCTCCTGTAAGATAAATCAATATCCTTTGCCTGCTTTAAATATTATTTGGCGCGCACGTGTGTATATGTTGCACCAAGGATAGAACCCAGGACTGTAGCACGCTAGGCAAAGTGCCCTCTCCCCAGCTGTCTCATTGGCCACCTCAATTGTACTGTTCTGTTCTCACTTTCTGAATGGCAGCCCTGGTACAGAGCTGTAGACCCTGGAGCCTTGGTGTGTCTTCTTCCAGCCCTGTATTTGCCTCCTAAGTACATAGCAGTGCACACCTTTAAACCCAGCACTATGGAGACAGAAGCAGGTAGGTTTCTGAGTTTGAGGTTAGCCTGGTCTACAAAGAGTTCCAGAATAGCCAGGGCTACACAGGGAAGCCCTGTCTCAAAAATCAAAACAAAGAAACAAACAAACAGGTAAAATTAGAATTTGCAGTTAGTCAACCCAGTGTTTTCCAGCTTGGCCTTGGGGAATGGCTAGAGTGCACCAGTCCAGAGCCCATCCTCAACAAGCATATATACTTAAATCTGACTGAGTAAACTCAGACTGTGGCCTTGGACAGTGGGATCAAGAGCTTCACAGACTAGCAGACTGGGCTCTATGCTGTAGGAGGGAATTAGCATCAGTTTCCTAAAGGTCTTCAGTGGAACTGTGTGACAGGACAGGGGAGACTGGCTTTAATAGGAGGCCATTAGCATGTTCCAGTGGACAGGTTGTCAGCAGCTGCTTTACTTCTCTCGGGGGCCAAGGAGGCCACCATAGGAATCTGTAGGAAGGCCTACAGGCTGCCATCTCACCATCCTAAGCAGGGCTCTCCCTGAGTGCTTCCTTGCAGACTGGCCTGCTCTGGCCCTAGATGCCCCTGTAGGCTTTGGAATGGCCTATAGTTTAAACACCATTAACTCAGCCTTGCTCTGAGGATGGGATGAATTGATACATGTGTGTTTTTTAGAATGGTGTGTGGTAGCACACAAAGTGCAAACTCTCTAGTTATTATCCCTCTCCGTCTCTACTTGCTTCCTTGGTAGCTCAGTAGGTTGGGGTAGGTGTGGTCCATAGCTGAGCACCTGCATCTCACCAACAGGCCCAAGTGGGAGACTCAGAACACATGCATGACTGAACGTGGGGAGCTCTGGAGGACAGGTCTTTTCTTCTGCAAGGCAGCTAACTGTGGAAAAGGCAAAAAACACTGGGCCTGCTGGGAAAGCTTGCAGCTGGTGGGGACATTTGGATCCTGTGACTTGGTACCTACATTTTTATTTGCTCTGGGAAAGCCGCTCCCTGTGTCTCATGTGACATTGGAACCAAAGCAAATCCTCATTTCCCTAAAACTGGAGGAGAAAAAGACAAAAGTGGGCCAAACCCCACCTGGAACATGGTGCTAGCTAGTACAACTCTTAGAGAAGAGGTCCTCATCTCCACTCAGCCCTGGGTCCTCACATTCTTCTGGCAGGGCAGCATAATACCCCAGAACAGGTAGAGCCTGTCCTCTGCTTGAGGCTAAGTACCACTCAGGTTGAAGGAGACAAGGTATAGAGGAGAGCTGGCTCTGGGACCACACATATCCATACTCTAGTCCGAAGTTTTACCCGAAGTTCTGTAGCTGTACGGTTATCATTTATACCTTCTCTGAACTTGGTATTCTTTTCTTTTCTTTTTTTTTTTTTTTTAAAAAAAAGAGCTATCTTCTTTCTGACTATCACAGTGACCAGCAATGATGTCTGTTAAATCTATTATTTTTTGATTTTATGAGCATTGGTATTTTTGCCTGCATGTATGTCAGAGTTACAGGCAGCTGTAAGCTGCCATGTGGATACTTGTCCTTAACTGCCAAGCCATCTCTCCAGTCCTTTCTGTTAAATCTTTACTAGAGGTAGGTATCAAATGGACAGAGAAAATCAAGTTTTTATTTGTAGCCCACCTTTACCAGTGGAGGGATTGCCTGATTTGTCAGGAGATGGGCACTATGAACCCCAGTAATACTGTTTCATTGGTAATGATGTGCTTTCCATTTAACCACATTTAACCAGTTAGCGCAGACCAATAGGAGAGATGCTTGCAGTTAAGGGCACTGGCTGCTTGTCAGAGGACCTAAGTTTGATTTCTAGCACCCACATGGTAGTTACCATCTGTAACTCCAGCCCTGGGGGATCTGATGGCTTCTTCTGGCCTCTGTGGGCACAACACACATGGTACACACATGCAGGCCAAAGATCATATGTACATTAAACGATTTGTCCCTCTTTGTCACTGGAGGCCTTTGATGTCTAGAGACGGACTTGCTAAGGTCAAAAAGCCAGTTAGGAGCAGGGCTAGAACTAAATTCTTGTCTCCCTCTCCCCCGCCCTGCCACCCCTCTAGACGTCTGCCTATGGGGCCATAAAGTCTAGCTGCTTTCCTTTCAAGTGCCTCTCCTGTGTCCCTGTCTGCTTTTACCTCATCAAACAGCTGCAGCATGATGGTGAGCACATCTGGATGGGCCTTGTCCACTTCATCAAAGAGGACTACTGCATTAGGGCACTGTTTCAGTTTCTTGGTCAGCTGGCCACCCTCTTCATGGCCGATGTAGCCTGGTGGAGAACCGATAAACTTGGCTACCTGGTGGAAGGCAATAACATGTTAGAAATGTCTTTTTGTGTTTTTAGCCTATAATATGGGGCCGGTGTGGGAAGATGTCTGAATACAGTTATTAAGAGGGCAAGTCTCATCAGGGATAGTCAAGAATACTGCCAGGATGGGAGAGCAGATGGATCAGTTTCTTCAGAAATGTTGTGCAGAACACATCATTGTGACCCTATTGTCCATGTATGTCCCTCTCTGCCTCAGGACAGATCCCAGGGCTGCTGAAGAATTATTAGAAGCCAAAGGCTCAAGTGACAAGTCATACAAAACCCCAAGTAGTGATGATTTCAGGCCCTCTGAGACATACTTCCCCGAAGACTATCTCACCTCATGTCGCTCCTGGAACTCAGACATGTCAAGCCGGATGAAGCCCTGAATGGAAATAAGGTTTGTCAGTATAAGACAGAAGGCAAGGGAAGGGCCTAGGCCAGACCCCTCCACTATCCTAGGCCTTCAGACGTGCCATATTCTCAAACTCCACATTTTCCCCAGTCTTTGCCTTCTTCTCTCACCCACTTCCCCAGGATACTTTTATTTTCTATCTTAATAAGGCCAATCACATCTCTGCCCTTATAAATACATTCAGGATGTCCCTTTCCCCAGGGACAGCTTCTACAGGTCTTGTTACCACATTATCTATAGCTCCATCCCCAGAGGGTGTTCCATATGTGCCCAGCAGTTTGAGTGGAGCAGGCAGGCATGGCCAAGGTCAGCACCACCAGTAGAGATGGTGGGGACATGAAGGGTAGTTCTCCACAGTGTTCCTTAAGTTTGCAAGACTATGGCATGAGTATGCCCCCTTGTTTTTTCTTTATAGCTTACAGCTACTATTTTACATTTTTCTTAAAAGGCATCCACGATGACCCTGTAGGTCTTCTTTCTCTACCATGGTAATGGGGATGATTTCTCAGAAAGTCCCTTAGGGAGAAGGCCATAGTTAGGGCCAGGGAAAGAGGCATGTGTTGATTTAACACAGGCAGAGAAGTCCTTCCTTGTCGTGGGTTTCAGAAGCTATGAGGGACTGTGACTATCAACAAACCCTGCTCCTCTCTCCTTACTGAGCTTGGGTAGAATGCATAAGCACTGCCGCTCCCAGTAGGTGAGGGTGACAAGGCACCAGACTCTCAGAAAGCGGCGCCCACAGCTGTATTTTAGCCAGGCCACATTTCAGGCAGCCACTCAATGAAGGAGATTGTGTTGTCTGCCCTGTGCCCTGTCCAGCACAGGTACAGGCTGGAGGGGTAAGCTTAGGTCAGGAGCCAGGTGATTGGACCCAGTTCTTCCACTGACTGTGTGGCTTTAGTCCTCAAGCCAGGATCTCCCAGTGCAACACCAGGCTCCAGGTCTGAAGAAAGTCCTAAATCAATAGGTAGGAAAGACATTAGGAAGGCTGTTAATAAGGCTGTTATTATGGTGGGCTAGGGCTGCTCTCAGTTCGTGGGCATAATAAGCAGCACTTCCAAGAGAGCTTCAGCAGATTATTCAGAGAAGTTTCTGGAAAGAAACAGGACAAGTGTGGGAAAGCTCAGAGCGCTGACCTGAGGCAGCAAAAATCTGGAAAAGTCACAAACACATGTCTGATAAGAGTTGACATTTGCTGTCATTTACATGTCTAGCAATGTTTTGAGGAAGCTATTAAATGGTTTAGCGTGTGTACAGCCTGTGGTAAGCAGGAGATGAAGAAACAAACCACAGACTGGAGTATCTTGTCCAAGGCTTTGCTGTTGAGTTTTGGTCATGACAAGTACTGCCTTTCATTTTCCCTGTCAATAGCTGGGTTCTCAGTAGTCTTCATTTGAAAGGTTCAGAGGTTTGTGCTTAGAAGGGACTGTCACAGGACCCAGAGGGTGCTTTCTTATGACAAGTGACCTCACCCCAGTTATTCTAGAGTCTTGCTGAGCAGCTTGGACTAGTTTTTGGGCTTGATATTCTTGGTTGGAATCTTTTTGGTTTCATGCGACTTTAATTTGGTTATATACAAAGTGAGAAAACAGAAACTATAGTCACATCCAACATGCCCTCAGTGTGGATTATGGGTAATATGTACTATTAGGAGTAATGGAGTTTACCATTTTATACTATTGTCTTAGTAATCTAATGGGAGAGAAGCATTACAGAACTTACTACTTAGAAAATGGATGAAAACAGAGTCCAAGTCAATTCCACACAAAAGGAGACTCAAATCATTGCTCTTAACCTGTCACCATAGTGCCACTTAAACTTGAAAGTCTTTTGGTCTCCAGTACCTGGCCTTATGATAATATTACAGAACAAAAGGTTCTTTCCCAAGGATTACTAAGTCTGATGAGAGTTAGCAAGGCTGTCCAGTTGGGGGAAATAGGACAGAAGCTGAGGGGAAGGAAAACCAATAAGCTCACACATGGATCTGGTAAGAAACTGTGCAGCTATCAATAATGCCTTGTGAGACAGTAAGCATTAGTGTCTTCACAACCAGTAAACAAGGGTCAGAGAGGCAGACCAGAACCAGCCCCGACTCCCAAGCCAGTGCTCAGTTTATCTCATGAGTCCCCTTGGGAGGCACAGGAAGATGAGCCTATGTGACACTGGACTCATATACCTAACACTTTCTGCACTTTACTGACTGTCCTGGAGGTGTCAGGAACATAGGGTCATTAGCTTACAGTCCAAGATTCTCTTGGATTTTGATGGTATGCTTCAAACATGAGTGTCCCATGGCTAGGAATTGTCCATGTAAACAAACCCTGTAATGGTTGGCCCAGGGTGGGCCAATAAGGGGTTTTATGTAAGATCTGAATCACACATGATTCAATAAGAAGTGTTTTTAGGGGGCCAGTTATGCATCTTATCTTCTTCTGTGAAACAGATAAATCAACATATTTCTAGTCTCAAGAGCAGCTGAGAATAAATGAGAGAAAAGTGGGCTCACGCCTCCTCCTAACAAATGATCTCGGGCAAGCCTCCTGCTACTCTAGGGCTTTAGCTCTCTCAACTAAAAAAGCAGATGAAGTTAGCACTGTTCCTCATAGGATCAAGTAAGAGCATACAGCAGGTGGGCACTGCTGGGACAGGCTAAGGAGAGACAGTGTCTATGGCAGTGTGCTGGATCCTGAGTAAGCTAATGCTCACCATAACCTGAGGAGGGATTGGAGAGCTCTTCCCCGAGGCAAGAAAGAGGATTTTTGTGGGAAAGGACCTACTTAGGGACAGGAGAAAACCAGAACTGGAACTCGAGTCAAGGGTCCATGGCTCTCGAGCTTGGTGCCAAACAGCAGATGCAGGAAGGAGAGGGTGCTACTTGCCTTGTGGGGAGGTGTGTACTGATCCCCACCCCACCCTTGAGACACGCTGTGGTGGTGGTGGTTTCTGTCCCCATTTAGAACCAACTAAAAGGTACCCGCATCAACAGTCGTTCCATAGCGAGTCAGCAGGTACTCCCTCCCACATCCACTGTGTATGAAGACATATTAAGACAGCATGGATAAGGAGATTATAATTTGTAATTAAATATTAACCTTTCTGACAGTATTAAAATTAAACCACTCAGAATTCTTCATCCCTAATCAGGTGGTTCCTGCCCGTAACTGCATCTTTCCTAATAGTCTTGCTAGTTTATGGCCCTTTCCAGAGTGCTAATTGTTTCAATCGCTGCCAACCTGATAAATTGTCTAAAGCCACTATTTCGGTTGGAGCACATTAGCATGCCACACACTTCTTCTTGCCTGCCTGTCTAGTGGGTCTGCAGTGGGTCTGATAGAGGCTGTGTACAGCTGTTGGCAGAGACAGGTAAGTTTAGGAGTTTTCTGCCAGCTGCTCCACAGAAAGGCTCACGAAACCTGGGCTACTTTGTTTCTATGGATCCAAGGATCCTCAGAGGTGGCAAGGGAATAGGCAGGCTACAAGGGGACGGGAATTCAGGACTCTGCTTCTGGGCTATTTAGCTGGCAGGGCCTAAGCTGCCCTGGGGAAGAGGGGAGGTGGCAATGAAACTAGGCAAGCACACCGGAGTCTTAGGCAACCTCCAGGGGCAAATGGGGGAGCTTAGACTTAATGATGGGAAGGCACTTAGCTTTAACTGAGTATTTTGTAGTGTCACCAAGGACTGCTTTCTCAAAAGCATTTCCTGATATTCAAGGCCTTTAAAACCAGGTGTGGATAAACATAGCTGGGGAGACCCCAAGGCTCTGGGCTATGGTTAGAAGCAGAGCAGAATCCTAGTTGAGGGGACATGCTCTATGGAGAAGCAGCAGACACCATTCCTACTTGTTTCTCCAGTAGCTGCTGGTTCCCTGTAGCATAGTCCTACCAGACTGGGATACCTAGCTAGCCTGAGCTCCCGCAGAGAGCCCTCAGTAAACATTGTATGAGCTCTGAGTACATCCAGCAAGACGCCTGGCAAGGACAGGGCTCTCAGCAATGTTCAGATGAATCTCATCTAGTTCTCCCAAGGGCCCTGACTCAGGCAGCTAAAGACAATCATTGCTATTTCACAGCCAAAGAAACTGAGGCACGAAAAAATTAATTCTTAGAGCAATCTCTGGTTAGAGCAGAGGCCTGCTTCTGGGACCAGGGCCCAGCTTTTTGATTGGCTGACGCTTAGGTTTTAGGACAAGCATGAATGGCAACGTTTCCCTGGCTTATAGACTAGACCTTGGTCCGAATTCCTTACCTTTTTGGCATCTTTGTGCATATACTTGGCTGTCTGCTTGGCCAGCTCGGTTTTCCCTAGGAATAAGGTAGAGTTAGGTCAGAACCAGTTGACAATCTTTGGAGTAAAAGTACACTAGGAATGGTTATGGTGGTGCCCATCTTTGATCCCAGCAACTGGGAGGCAGAGGCAGGAGGATTTACAATATTGAGTTCCAGGACAGCCAGGGCTATGTAAAGAGACCTTGTCTCAAAAAATTAAAACAACACTAGGATGCATGGACACTGATGAGTACTCCTTTTATGATAGAAAGCTGAGGTCCAGAAACTCTCTTAAGGTGAAGCTGAAACAACAATCACAGTGCACTTCCAGTTTCTCCTATGAAGCCAAGGACTTTCTCTGTAGCAGCATCCTAGGCGTGGAGGCAGGCAGTAGGACTTGTAACCCAACTCATCCTTTGAAGTTTAGCACAAACTTCATCTCTTCTAGGACTGCCCTGACTTCCTGCCTTATGCCCTGCATCCCTCTTAAACACTCAGAGCCCTGGAAAGTGTAGAAGATGACAGAGTACTTGCCACTGGCACCACAGATCTTGTGACGAAGAGGACAACTCCTAAGTGGTAGGTTGTTGGAAGGGCCATCAGGAATGATGGTAAATCCACTATGTGGTACACAGAGCTTCATGGTCAGGTCCATGAAGGTGCTGGGAGGTAAAGAGGTGGCTATACCATTAGAGACCCATCAAGACCATGGAGGGAGGTAGGGGTGGAGGAAAGCAGAAGACACCTTAGATGGTACAGCCCACCTGACTAGAAAGGTATCCATGCCTTACTACAATCAGTTCTGCTGTGCTCTGTGCACAGGAGTTTTCCCAAAGGTAGGCTGCCCTGAGTATAGCTGGTGTGCCAGGGAGTGAAGGTGGTTCATTTCCCCAGAGGTGAGCCTATGGAATGCACAGGGGTAACATGGGACATGACTAAGAAGTCCACGTCTTTTTTCTTGGTGACTCTGTGATCTAGGGCAGCTGTTTCTGGAGCTGTCAGGCTCAGTGCAGATGCTTCTCTATCTCTGCTTCCCCAGTGACTAATCTGCCCATGATTACCTATTCCAGATGATCCCAAGAAGAGGAAGACTAGAGGGTGCTCCTCATCGTACCAGCCATTCTCCTTCCTCCGGATCGCTACAGCCAAACACACAACATGGGATGGGGAGGGAGACAGATAAATCAATGACACAAAAGGCAGGATAATTATCACTAAGTATACAATATGTTTTACTGCTCTGCGCCCACTCAAAGTCCTCACTACCATTAGTGCTACCTAATCTGATTAGCTGGCAAGGCCCCTAGAGACACCTAATCAGGTTAGCATGGATTTGGAAAGCTGCCCAGAGCAGATTTCGGATAAAGTTTTCCAGGATGAGCACTCAGCGTTGCCAGGGAAACCAAAAGGCGGGTGGATGGTGAATGGAGGTGAGGGGGGTGGGGGATTGGTGAAGGAGAATCTGAGAGGAATGTTAACTCTCGCTGGTCACCCATCTACTCACCTGGGAAACGAGTAGAGAATGAATGATAGGTGATACCCAGGGACCCAGGGTGGTATAAGACTTGGGCTCTTTCTCATTTGGGGAAATCAAGGTCTGTTCTGATGAGTGGTTTAAGAAGTAGAACAGAGCCAAAGCATTTTCTGGAAGCCAATCAAGGGCAGTGTACAACCTGGGGGCGAGGAGAGGGACAGATCTGTACTAGGTTTCATGGGGCTTCTTGAGGAAGGAAGTGGTCAAGGCTATGTATGAAGGTGAGGAAACCCAGTCTCAGCAATGGCGTGGAAGGAGGCAGAATCATAAGAAGAGTCACATATTGGACACCCTGGATAGTAGGTATAACTGGAAGTCACCAACAATGTATTTAAGACCCACAGAAACACTGAAGGGAAAGGATTTGTAACTCCATCATCTGGAACAGGAAACAGGCTTAAGAATACAGAGACCAGGCTTAAGATAAAGAGACTTGTTAAGTCATGTAGTTGGTAGATGGTATGTAAGAGTTGCTTCTTTCCCAAAACTTGTCTTTACAAAAAACAAAACAATCAAACAAACAACCCCCCCAAAACCGACCAACCAGCCCTCTGCCCCCATACAGCTGCGTTAAGAAGTGAGTGCCAATTTGGGTGGCACTAATGGAAACACAGTGGTTAGGAGCAGGAAGACGACAGAGCACTGTGCAATGTCAGGGTCTGTCTGCAGATGGAACAGTGTGTCTGGTCTGGTCCCAAGAGTGTCACAGGACAGTAAGAAAAGGATATATGTCAGAGGACAAGGCCTGGAAACTTACTTAATGGAGAAGGAGTCAACAGTTCCAGGGATTGCCTGCCAACCTAGAGGAGTCAAGCTCCCAAATGTTATGTAGTTGGGCTTCAAAGCAGCCACAGGACTGATGACAGATCACAGGGCTGACAGTCTGGAGAGATGGCAGGCCCAAAGTGGTGGGAGAAGAACTAACATAAGGGATAGGTAGGAGCAGACTGAGTCTGGGCTGCCCCATGCCAGTCTTCTTCCTCACCTTTTAGAAACAGACGGAAACAGTGCAAGCTCAAGAACAGATGAGCCACCTGTGCTGCCATGAGTTGCACCCCGAGAAGGGCTTGGGGAAATGGCCTGATTTTTCTCCTGGGCTGAAATCTAGATCTTCTCTAACTAACTAGCTGGGGTTCTCTGAAAGGGGTGGCTAGGAGAGATAGTCAGAGACCTCATGGGCCTGATCATAGGGATAAAGGAGGAAACTCCAAGCCCATTTGTCAACAGAAACAAGGAGTTAGTGGTGAGAGTATATGGGAACAGGTTCAGGCAATAAGTTGGGAGAGGTAAGACTTGGTGGTTGCTATGTGTAAACAAGTGTGTATGTGTAAAGGCAGGGCTAACAGAGGGCCAGCTGAGAAGAAACATATTCTTCCAAAAGTTGGCAGAGATGAAAATCTGTTGAGAACAGTGGAACCTGAAGAAGGCTTAGGCTTTGTATATCTCGGAAGGCAGAAGGACCCAGCATCCTTCGGACAGGTGGAATGGCCCCTCAGGCAGGGTATCGTGTTTGTGAGGTTCTGCTCTTGGCTGTTCTTTTGGGGTAGTGTCCTAGCCTATTGAGAGCTGGACATAGCTGGGCTGTGCAGCACAAAAAAACACCATGGAGAATGTGGAATTGAATTACGCCTGGGGCCATCTTTCCCCTTCCTTTCTAATAATGCACCTGGGAAAGAGCTCTTTATAATGCCAGGCAGACTCCACTGCACAGCTGTCCCTGGTCAATTCTGCCAGACCCAGGGCAGGAGTCTGGGGTGGGCCTGCTCTGGGGTCCCTGAGAAACAGGCGAAATGCCAACCATTAAACAATTATAACTCTGGATATTTCTAATAATATCTTAAGAGAAAAACGGCCAAGCAGATGGAGTCCGACAGAATGAAAAATGAAAGCAGCTAGGAAAAACTGGGGAAGGCAAGCCCCAGGGTGTGTGCGGCTGGTCAGGACTGAGGACTGAGGCTGGGGAGCCCGGAGAGTCCTGCCAGTCCAGGGTAAAGGTTAGGCCAGAAGGAGACTGTAGGGGTCACACACACATGTGGCTGTGAGTGCTGATGCTCTTACTGTGGCTCAGTGAATGTGCAACTTACTTTACTAGCACTTTATAAAGAATCTCTGTGTCAGTAACATCACATTGCCTCATTAATGGTTATATGAGGAAAGATGGGCAGGAAACTTGATTCCTGTTTTATAGATGAGAATATGTACGGAACATTAGGAAACCTACTCAGGTCCACAGGACAGTCAGAAGAGCAGGGCTTTAACCCCACAGTGTCTGACCCCTGAACCTACACTGTGTCAGGAGCAGAGCAAAGGAGGGCAGCTTTGGAAGCCCTAATCCTGTCCTCACTACTGTTCTTGGCTCTCCACAGGGTCAGTTACTTTCAGCAAGTGCAGCTCAGCACCTCGCCCCCACAGACCCCAGCTCTGCAAGTTCCCATCAGGCTCTTCTGCTCCCACATGCTGCACTAGCGCACATCTCACTAGTCCCTCACCAGATGACTTGACCATCTCTGTTACACTGCAAGACCACTGGGGAAGAAAGCTCTGTAGCAAGTCTTTGTGATCAATTCTATCCTAACGCCCCTAGCCTATCAGTTCTCGGTTATCTATTCACTTATAGAGCAGTGTGGTGGAGATGATGCGTCAAGAGAGATTGCTTGGAGTCTTGTCTTCTGCCACTTCCTCATTGGTTAACTAAAATACCTACTCCTTTTCAGTCTTGGTGTCTTCACTTCTAAAATGGACAGAGATTCATATGTGGTCGGCTCCCCATGGAGACAGGACAATGATTAGGGCAAAAGGAATGGAAATCACCATGGCAGCAATGACGGCAGTCAGTGTCCATCCAGGCTGGCAGAACTCAGAATCTGCTTGCCTCTGTCACCCGAGTACTAGAATTAAAGGTGTGAGCCACTACTACCTGATTCAGTGTCAGCTTTTTAAATATCTCCTTCAACAAAGTAATAATGCGAAGTAGTATATAATGTCGCTGTTTCATACAGGAGGAAACTAGGAACCAGCCATGGGAAATCAATAATGGGGTTTCTTCTACCTGTGCCCTTATATGGGGCAGAGGGCAGCAGGTACTGGGCACTCTAACTACTTAGGGATCCATGAGGCTAGCCTCTCACTGGTTTAATGTTTGATGACTAAATTAATTCTTGGTATTCTTGGGACTGAAAACAGGCAGGCTGATTTTTATCCCCTTTTACAGAGGACAGTGTGTCTGGAGGAGATTCAGTGCTGCAGGTCATTTCTGCCACTCTGGGGGAAGGCCGCTAGTCTCCTCTAAGCCCACTAGGGATCCTTACGCATCTTTCCTGCAAACAAGCTCTTGCCATGTACTTGGTGTGCACCTCTAATGTAAGATTGAGGGCTCTAGATGGGATGGATGTGCTGGGAGTATGACAGAACAGTTGTACTTGAAGCACAAGGCATTCTGGGAAGGCTCTGGTATGTGAAAAAGCAAAGAGGGAAAAGATTTGCCTACTTTCAACCCAGAGCTTTGTTTCTGTCCAGCTGAAGCTCAAGGATAGCCTGGGCCCACACTTCTTTTTTTTTTTTTTTTTTTTTTTTTAAAAAAAATATGGAACGCTTCACGAATTTGCGTGTCATCCTTGCGCAGGGGCCATGCTAATCTTCTCTGTATCGTTCCAATTTTAGTATATGTGCTGCCGAAGCGAGCACGGGCCCACACTTCTTGATAAGTTCTTTTATTTTTAAACTTATTTTTATTTACATGTGTATGCCATGTATGCAGGGAGCCAGAGGACAGACAAGGCTGTCAGACCCTTGAAGCTGGAGTTATAACAGTGTTATAGGCAGTGTGAGCCCCCAATGTGGGTACTGAGAGCTGAACTCAAGTCCTCTGGAAGAGTAGCCAGTGCTCTTAACTGCTGAGTCATCTGTCCACAGGCCCTCTTGGTAAGTTCTAATGGTCTTGTGTGAGAGGATTTTCAAAGAAACCCAGTAATCTGGACACACAAGTATTCAATGCTGTGGCATCTCCAGGGGAGTCAGCCATTTGGAGCAATGCTCGAGGCTGAGAATCACCATTGTGTATCAAATAGTATCAAATGGGCTCTTGTAGCCAGGTGGTGGCAGCGAACACCTTTAATCCCAGCACTCTGGAGGCAGAAACAGGTGGATCTCTGTGCCAGCCTGGTCTACAAAGTGAGTTCTAGGACAGCCAGGACTACACAGAGAAACCCTGTTTTGAAAAAAAAAAAAAAAACCAAAACCAAATCAAGCCAAAACCAACCAACTAAACAACAAAAACACACAACAACAACAACCAAAGAAAAGAAAAGAAAATGAAGAAAGGAGGGATTTCTTCATTTTCCTCTGTACAGCTTTGTTCAACATTTGTACAGCTGTGGCCAACCCTAGGAAGCAGTTAACAAAGGTAGGTCCTGATCTCTTGAGAGAAAATCACACAAATGCCGTAGACATCAAAGCACTCATGTAATGAGAGGTGTTCACAAGAAGCCCAGGGAACAGGCCCTGAGAATGGGAAGACATTCTGAGAAGAGCATGTGGGCAGGCCCTGCTGCGTAAGTGCAGTGGAAGGATAGAGTTGTGTGAGGCAGTGCAGGGGAATCTGCTGGGTCCTGGCAATGTCTGTGAGGCCATGTCCTTACACAGACACAGTTCTGAGGCTGCCAGGTATGTCCAGGCTGACCTACTGTCCACCCAGGAGATCAAAGGTGAAGGAATATGATGTAATTATTGACCTCACTAGTGTTCCCTTTCTAGTACGCTGTGAGCTACCAGAGGACAAGTGGCCATAGCACCTAAGGGAATTTTATAAACTGCTTCAGTGGGGATAACACAAACATGTCTGACCTCTCACACACATATCTTCTCACAAGGAACCTCAAGTCCATTGCTCCTGAACTGGGTTAGACAGTGGTAGGGCTGGGCTGGAACCTCGTTACAGGAAGGCCAGAAGAACTATAGGCTGATAGGACAGCAGTGGCAGACTCAGGTGGGAAGGCAAAGGCAGGCTGTTGTTGTTGGTGTGATGCAGGCTGGCAGACACAGCAGTAGTAGGTCCTTTACGCCATGTTAGGACAAGGACCACTCAAAGGCTTCAACAAGGAAGTGATATTAGATTTGTGTTTTCCTTTCTCTTTTAAAAGATTTATTTATGTGCATTGGTGTTTGCCTGTGTGTATGTCTGTGTGAGGGTGTCAGATCCTCTCAAACTGGAGTTACAGACAGTTGTGAGCTGCCAAGTGGGTGCCAGGAATTGAACTGAGGACCTCAGGAAGAACAGCCAGTTCAATGGCTCTTAACTAAGTCTCTCTCTAGCCCTAAATTTGTGTTTTCTAAAGATCACTCTGCCCCAGCAGAACACTATGGGAAGGAAAGGAGGCCACTGCATGGCCAATATCCGGATGTGACGGTTGGTACTGTCGGCTTGAAAGGGTCTAGCTCACCGAGGTGACAAGACTCTGGCCATGCCCATGTGAGTGATCATCTAGATTAGGTTAACTGTAATGGGAAGACCTACCTCATTGTGAGCGGCACCATTTCATGGGCAAGGGTCCCAGACTCAAAAAAAAGGAGGAAGTGAGCTAACACCAACATTAACACTCTGTTGCCAACTGCCTAAAGGTCCTGTCACCAAGATCCCCTACTATTATGGACTGTATTCTTGAACTATGAGCCCAAATAAAACCTTTCTTTTTTATGTTTGCTTCTTGTAAGGTATTTTATCGCAGCAGTGGGATAAGTAAATAACAGGAAAAGGAAGAGGGGCCAGGTTTGAGAGCCATAGAAGAGAATGACAGAACTCGATACCTGAATTGTACCAGGTGAAAAGGAAGGATGGCAGAGCTAAGGAAACGTGTATATTTCTATCTAGGAGTCCAGTGATTGGAGGCCTAGTTCTGAACTGCTAACCAGACAGCCTTTCTGAGGTGAGTGGGACTTGTACTTAGCTCCCAGGAAGTCTGACAGCTAGGACTGACATCTTTCATCACTTGACCAAGATCAGCTCTGGGTTCTGGAAGGAGAAACTCACTTTCCACACCCTTGTGATATATATGTAGGTTGGCCTGGTGGGTCATATGACCCTAATAGACAAGAGCGGCCATGGAGGTCTGGTTTGTGGGCTGGTGCTTTAGTTCCTCCATTTGTAAGGCAGTAACTGTGCGCCATCCTCGCTAGAAGCCCCGCAGCTGGGGATCACACTGATAAATTCACTGTATTACTTTGCACAAATCAATATCCCAGCACTTACCAGGGGTTGATGTGACCGAAATTGGTTTCAGCCAATTCGTGAGGGTAATAAATGGCCATTTATCAAATCAATTCATTCTGTAGCACTTCTCTGGCTGCCCATCCTCATGGTACCCATGGGGTGCCAGGCTCTGTTCCCCTCTAGGTAGCCCCTAACACACATGCAACACGAGTTTGGAGAATCCAGAGAAGCCTGACATAGCCTCTAGATATGTCCCATCCTCCTATGCCTGCTGGGGAGGTTCTGAGCATTGTGGTAACAAGTTCAGACCCAGAAAGTGCCTTATGCTTTGACTAGGCCACTAGGCAGCTCATTCCTTCTTTTGGGGATCCAGAAGCTTTTAAGAGATGGTATGGTGCAGGATATTCTCAGTGTGATCCCAGCTGCAGGGCTCCTCAGCAAGGGAGATACACAACAAATGAAAGCAAAAAAGCACAGCCCTAGACAACATGGACCCCAAAGGCACTTTTTGTGTAGGGTCACCAGAGCCTTGGCAGAGCTAATCTTTATACAATGGTGGCAAGGAGAGGGACTTCTGGCAGCCAGTTTACCACTTACCTAATGCAGAGTTCAGAAGACAGAAGAGAGGCTTTGAGGGAAAGGAGTTCCTAGGATGCTTATTCTGACAGTTCTTGGAGTCAGAGGGCAGATGACCCAGTCTGAGACAATTGCAAGGGATGGGATGACACTAAGCCAGGCATCAGAGGTCAGCTCAGTGCTGAGGAAGAGGCAAGCTGAGATTGGATGTCCAGTTACAGGTGAAAGAAAATGGCTCTGGGTTTGATCTCAAAAGTACAGGGCCCAACTCAAGACATTTTGAGGATAGGAACTAGGTTGTGTGTCAAAGATAGGAAAACATGAGCATCCGGGTTATGGGGTGTTGATGTTGGTACCTTGATATAAAGGCAAAGAAAGTGATGCCAAAGAAACTGGGGCACACAGAGGAAACCATAAAACACTATTTCTGGGAAGCTTTTTGGCTTCTGGGCTTAAAGGGCTGCTGAAAAGCGGAGGCCAGAGGTTAGGAGAATGACTATTGGAAACAGGTATCTAAGAAACTGAGTTCTTGTAAGGGCAGTTGTAGTCCAGTTGGAGTGGATATGAGACTCCAACAAGCAGGATGTTCTCTTAGGCCTTCAGTTGGGATTCCCACCTCATAGGTGGCACCTGAAGACAGATGTATATAACTAGAACCCAGGAGCATCTGGGTGCAGATTGGACCTAAGTCTTTTCCCAGCATCTGCGTGACTCTGACTTCTAGACAGGATGGCCACTTTGGTCCCTAGGTTCCATTCATGTGCTGAAAGTCAGGCCCCTGGTGAGGAGCTCATGAGCCTTCACGCTACATGAGGGTGATGGAGTAAGACAGCCTGCTGGGTTCTGAGCAGGCACCGAGGAACATGGAATGATGGATGAGAACATGGAACATGGAATGGGATGAGATGTTTAGGGACTAGAGGGACCAGACAGAAGGACTGGCAAAGACTGTTTAAAATAGAGGATTTTAAACTCTAGCTGAGTGGCAGATAGCCTAAAGGGCCTGTTAAAAACATAAAAAAACAGGTCCTGACTCTACAGGTGTAAACTGAAACCTAAAACTGTGGCCACTGGCCCAGAGAACATCCTTGGGGAAATACTTGTCTCAAGGGGGGGACCCCCTTAGACAACTGCTTCCCTGCCTTCCCTGCCTCAAGTCACCCTGAAACAGGTTCAGGTTGTAGAACAAGGTGAGGGCCCTGCCTTCAGCAGCACCCACTGTACACATCTGTTGAAAGAGAGCTGTGCTTGGCAGGGGCCTCAGGGTGGCAATAAGCCCTTCCTCAGTGGGGAAAAGGCGTTTCTTGGGATGTTTTCTGCCAGCCATGCAGCTCCTGGCAAACCTTCTCAAAGTTTGGGAGTGAGTGCTGGCCAGTTGGCACATAGGAGCTGAATCTTTGTTCTAGCTCAGCTCCCACCCCTCTCTCAGTCTCAGATACCCCACCTTAAATTAGGAGATGATGGGTAGTGGACCAGATGATGACAACAGTGCCATTTGATGGTGCCCATCTCACAGTACTGCTATAAGAACTAAATGACCTAAAATATGCAAGAGCTTAAACATAGGCATTGTACTCACAGGCAGCACTCAGCAAACAGTAACTCTGAATATGGAGTTTCTGGGTTTGGGGCAGCAAGATGTGCTTCTCACTATAGCAGCTGCCCCTTCCCATCTGACTAGCACTGAGGACAGGACTCACCAGCACCAACAGTGGCAATGGCACTCTCCTGGCCAATGATGTGTTCCTTCAATCGTTGCTCGAGTGGGAAGCGGCGCCGCTCCTCTGCCTCACGCTTCCTCTGCTTCTCCATGTACTGAGGGAAAAAGAACAACAGTTTAGGGAGGCTGGCCTCAGCAGGACCTTGGTTTAACCTGTTTCTCAGTGGAGGGGAAAACTGTAGATGCTGGTGCTTCAAGGGGCCTGGTCTGCCTTATGACTGCTGGAGAGCTATTTCAGGTCACCCCTACCTCTCTGCTCAGGAGCATGAGTGTATTTTTCACTAAAAACACTACTGGAAAAGAGTTTGGAAATGTCTGAGTGCTCATCTGGACTCCAGAGTGCTTCCTATGGGCAAGCTCTAGCTGTTTCTGGCATGGACTCTGGCCCAGCAGCACATCTGGTATATGTAAAAATATAGACACAAAAAGGAGAACATTAACAGCTAGACAGGGTGGTGTAGACATACAGAGAGGGGAAGATACACAAATCTGGAATGCTTGGTGGGGCTTTCCAGGACATGGGAGAGTGTAAGGAAATGGAGGACTGGTGACCAGGAGTTGGGGCTAAGACTGTGAGCCAGACAGTCTTTACTGAGGCAAAAGCAGACGGATCTTAAACTGAGAAGCAAATGCCAGGTCTTCAGGTGGCTTTTCTCCTCAGGCCACAGTAATGTAGACATCTTTCTTGGAAGAGAGCTGCCAAGGTAAGGCCCTGTCACAAAAGTTGTGTTTGCAGATTGTTCTTCTGGGCAGAGTGGATGAAAAATACCTGCTGCTTGGGTAGTGTTTTCCTGTTATAGTAGTGACCTTGACAGAAGTTAAAAAAAATAAATAGCAAACAATCCAATTTTGGCTGTTGCTATCAGTCTGTAACTGAAAGCTCCCATCAGTCCTTGGTTTCATATGGAGCAATAATTCGGCGCCGATCCCAGTGGAGTGACGCTTGCCGGCTGAAATCCAGAGTGTCACTGTGCAGCTCCCTCAGGCGCCACATACATCACCTGGCTCTGCCAACTCCAGCCATATATCTGCCTCTTCCTCCTCCCTGTCCACAAGCCCATTCAGCACTCAGGCCCACTAGGCTGGAAGTTGCTGATGATACCTCTCTCTCTCTCTCTCTCTCTCTCTCTCTCTCTCTCTCTCTCTCTCACACACACACACACACACACTCATACACACTCATTGGAATGATGCCAATTTGTTGGACAGACCCTGAAGGAAACTGAACTGAACTTGAAGCTGGCTTGCCAGTACTTGCTGGGCACATTTACACACTACTGTGTGCCAGGCACTGTGTGCACTCAGCACTTCATTCAGTGTCTCAACTTTTAGAGTCACCTCCCATGTGAAGTTGGGCTCTTCTGGCTCATAGTGAACCAATTATATGGCAGAATAAACAAGAACTCCAATGACCTCATCCATTTAAGACTAGGGTAGTAAGAACATCCCAGGATCTTAGTTCCTTCACCACAGCATGGAGACAGTGCTCACACCCACTTTCTAGGATGCTTGAGGAGGAAATGAGAGACTCATTTGGCAGAGCCTGGCATGCAGAAAATGTGGGTTGGTAATAAGTAGCAGTCAGGTGACTCAGATGTCTTCCAAGTACCTGCCCTTACGAAGTGCTAAGCGTATTTCTCTCTCTTCGTTCCAGGAGTGGCACCTGAGCCTAGGATCCTTGCTCAGGCCTCTATCCCCACCTTCACAAGTTTAGAATTGCCACAGCCCTTCTATACTTAGAGAAGGGAGGAGATGTCAGGGGCAGCCCTGCTTACACACTGAAGGCCTAAAATCAGCCATAGGCCTAAAATCAGCAATAGGCCTGTCATACATGTATACTAACACCAAGTCTTGGGTCTCAGTGGAAAAACATTGAAACAGATGGCTATAAGCTAATGTAAATAGGCAGCTTTTGTGGAAATTTACAAGCCTGAGTAGTCATAGACCTTGGAAATAGGTAGCCTGGACAGACAATACCAACTTAGATATTAGATATTAGATATACCAACTTAGAGTCATAGGCAGAGTCATAGTGACCTGTCTCCTGAACCTTCACCCAGCCGATACCCGGTTCTGAAGATATCTGTATTCCCCCTGATCACCCACACTCCAGTGTCATTCCCTTCCCCACATCCTGCCTTTCTGTGTTTATAACCCCTGTGTGAATGAATTATGATTTGAGAAAAAATAAATTAAAAAAAAAGTTAAAAAAAGTGCTAGCACTTTTACCCCGAGTTATATGTCAGCCCTTGGATACCCACCAGGTGGATCTCTGAGTTCAAGGCTAGCTTGGTCTACAGAGTGAGTTCAAGAAAAACTCTGTATCAAAACACAGACACAAGCCCCAACTACTTCCATTTACTCCATTTGGTTTCCAATTGGCTAAACTGATTTTTGGGGGGTGGGATGGGATAAAGTACAGGACTCCTTTTATTTAATTCGATCATAGGTAGAGATCCATAGACTAAAAGAAGAGGTGCTCTAGCTTGAGTGCCAGAGAGAGCCAGGAACCAAGTCCACTTGGATGCCCACTGCCTCGGAAACACCTCATAAGGCGCCCTCTCTTGGTACTTCAGTCTGGAGGTGCTGTCTCCACTGGGCCCATTTTCTGGAGACACCCTGACTACTTGAGGCAGCCCTCTCTGGCAACCAGTTCTCCTTACATGGCATGGAATTCTGTCTCTGCAATATTTGGGCATCTATGGGCCTCAGAGCACACACCTTTCCTCTTGTTCCAAGGCAAAGCCTAATGAGACTTCTCATTCCAGTTTGTTGAGTGAGGTATGACCATCATGGTTCTCCATGTAGTCTTCGTCTTCCGGCAACTCTTCTTTGGGGGTCAAGATTTTATGTTGCTTGGAAGTCCCATTAATTTCTTGGACAAAGTGCAAGAGTTTTAATTACTATGAAGTGAGCATTGGGGAAGAGTCTGAATGAACTGGCTGAATTTTGGGAGCTTCTTGATGGTGTTGGGAAAGGTTCCATTAGAACCAATCTCTAGAACACAGCTAGATCTTCTGAAGTCTCAAATAGTTATTCAGAAAAAAAATCTCTGAAAGGGTATCATATTCCATTGGTAAAAATGTACAGGAGGGCTGGCAAGAGGGCTCAACAGTTTAAAGTGCTTGCTTGCGTTGCAGATCTGAGAACCTGATTTCAACTCCCAGATCCTATGGTTGGGGGAGAGTACAGACTTCTGAAAGTTGTTCTTTGACTTCCACACACATGTGCATCATGGAATACATATGTATCATACACACAATTAGAACAAGTGCATCAAACTGGATTTTAAATGAGGTTAAATGTAGTGCTTTCTGTTGTTTTGCCAAGGTGTAGAAGAAATCATCTTTTAGTTTGTATTGTTTGTATTGTATTGTTGTATTGTACTAGAAATTGACCACTGGGTCTTTTCCATACTAGGAATGAGTCGCTTTTTAAAGGCAACTGTCCCGAGCCCAGCCTTGTGGAAAGTTAGTCCATAGGAAAAACCAAACCAAACCAACTCAAAAACTGGAGAAGGAAAACATTTGTTTTGTATTTGTTCAACCTGGGGGAGAGGACGAGCTCAAAAGGACTCCATGCTGCTGTTGTGCTTGGCTCTTGGAAAGCACATGAGGAAAGGCTACAGGACTGAGTTCAAAGCTCTGCTTTAGTGAGGTTCCATTTATCTGGAAGAAATGGCAGGTAACAAAGGCAGAGGGCTGGAATGAGAGGTCCTGTGAAGGGGCTGCCAGGAGAGCAGGTGTGGGGAGTGACCATCCTCTTAATAAAAGCCTGGAACAATTAACTTCAGATACTCTCACCTGGAGCTGGCAGCCGTCAGCTCCCATGCTGCATCTTGGCTGGTGGATCGCAGCTTCTGGTTTCCATCAGTCTTGATTTAATATGGCACTCCTTCTGGCTCTGAGTGCATTTACAGGAAAGGGCTGGGAGGCCTAGCTAAGCCTGCCTCACTCAGAGATGAGTGATGCAGCAAGGGAGGGCTGAGTAGAAGGTGTATGACAAGCATCTTGATTACTGGGCATGCCTTAGGTGACAGGTTTGACAATGAAGCTGGTAACGAGAGAGCCACTGTGGTGCTGTGGTAGGTGGCCAGAATAAGTCCCTGAGCAAGAGTAGGGTTGTGAGGTGTAGAGGAACAGAAAGGTCAAGCCAAGTTTGCAAACTCTCTTGTACCCTCAGGTGTACATCTAAGTCAGTCTGACCTTAAGTCCTGGTCAGGACGTCTGACTCCCTGAAATGTGGTGATAGGAAGAGCTATGTAGGAAGGCCAACAAAGGTACAGAGACCGGGATAGGAGTGACGAAAACACAAGAATACAGGCTATCCAACACACAAAAAAATTGCCTTATTGAAGCACCCCACCCCCACAAATACATGTAGCGGATGTGCAGCTTGGTCTTCATGCAGGTCCCCCAACAAGTGGAACGGGGGCTTACATTGTCTCTGTTGCCTGCCTGTGGAGTCTGCGCCCCTAACTGGGCTGTCTTGGCCTCAGTGGGAGAGGATGTACCTAGTCCTGCAGTGACTTTGATGTGTCAGAGTGGGCTGCTTCCCCAGGAGGGATTTCCCCATTCTCAGAGGTGAAGGGCAGAGGCCATGTGAGGGGGGCACTGGGAGAAGATGTAGGGGCTGCGATTCAGATGTAAAGTGAATAAAGTAACAGAAATAAAAAAAGAACTATGGATGCCAACCAAATGGAACAAGAGACTGGGGTGAGAGATGTAGGAAGGGACTTGAAAGCTTCTCGAACTAACCCACAAAATACACTCTATGTGAAGAGGGCTGCCCACAGGGCACCTTCCAGAATCCATTCCTCACCTTTCCAGTCCCCTCTTCTATTTGTGCTAGAGATAATATACCTTTAATTTCAGCACTCAGGAGGCAGAGGCAGGTTGGTGGATCTCTGTGAATTTGAGGCTAGCCTGGTCTACAAAGAAAATTCCAGGACAGCCAGGACTTAATAGTCCACAGAGAAACCCTGTCTCAAAAAACAAAGCATAACATCTTACACCTCCCTATGTCAACCCAGAGGCCCCTGTCCCTAGTTGGGAGCCAACCTGCCAGGGGTGGTTTTAACTGCTGCCAACATATC